GTAGGGAAAATTGCAAAGAAGAGAACAAAGAAAATTGACTTGTATTCCTTTGATTCTGATTACAATTTGATTACAAAAGAGAAGAGAACGAATTTGATTCTCTCCTTTGTTTAAAACTGGGTTCTTCACGGTGGCGATGGAGTGCCTCCCTCGAATGCTCGCGTCGAGGTTGCTCTCCGTTGACGATCCGACGTCTTGATTCACTGGAACGATGTCTCCTCCTCACGATTTGACGTGAGTTGATAACGCTGAACGAGTTTTAACTCTTGAAAAAGAGTTGATTTAAACCGAAAATCGGTTAATAGCCAAGGATGAGGAAGCTCCTGTTGCCGAACGTTGAAGATGATCTTCCTTGAAGGATGATGCCGATCTCCTCCGAAGTTCGCCCAATGATCTCCCCTGTTGCTGCCAATTTTCAGCTCCAAAAAGCCAGCCTTCAATGGTCGATTCAAGCTAAGAAAAATCCAACCCTGAACTCAGTTGAGTTTTCTCGCTTTTATAGGGGATTAAGGGGGTGTAACTGTCCTCTAAATCCGCTCCTAAGTGGGCGTGATTTCCTCAGATCGTGGGGAAAACGGTTCTGAAACCGTTCGACTCATATTTGAATGAGTCAAACGCCCAACCTGGCGTTCAGGACCCTAACCTCGCGTCTTAGGATTGAGACACGAGGTTGGGTGTTGACTGAACATCCAGAACGCGAGGGTCGCTCACGTTTCACTTGTTGTAACGCGGGTCCGACTCCAGCGTTTTGATGTTGTAACGCGGGTTTGATCCTGGCGTTTTGATGTTGTAACGTGGATTCGACCCTCGCGTTTTGATGTTGTAACGCGGGTTCGACCCCGGCGTTTTGATGTTGTAACGCGGGTTTGACCCTGGCGTTTTGATGTTGTAACGTGGGTTCGACCCTCACGTTTTGATGTTGTAATGTGGGTTCGACCCTCGCGTTTTGATGTTGTAACGCGGGTTCGACCCCGGCGTTTTGATGTTGTAACGCGGGTTTGACCCTGGCGTTTTGATGTTGTAACGTGGGTTCGACCCTCGCATTTTGATGTTGTAACGTGGGTTCGACCCTCACGTTTTGATGTTGTAACGCGGGTTCGACCCCGGCGTTTTGATGTTGACACACGGGGAGGACCTCCGCGTCTTGTCTTGAAGAGATTATCACAAAGTAATCTCTTTTGTTATAGCGTTGCAAAGATCATTGTCTTGTAATCTTCGTCTCGGCTCCTTGAGAATATGAGAGTCGTCAGATTGTAACTCCCGATGTTGATTGTGAATGCTGTTGAACTAGAGCTCTCATCGGTTGTCGTGAAGGTCGTCAGATTGTAACCTTCAGCGATCTACGTGAAAGTCTTCAAATTGTAGCCTTCTGGAAGTCGTCAGATTGTAACTCCCATCATCGGTGTTTGATGGAGGATAAGCTATCTATTGTGATTTTTAGACAGCCTACAGTGGTCAAGTATGACGGGTCATTTTTTTTAAGATGTTTTTACTATAAAAATTATGTAAACTTAGAAACTCTATCTAATTAAATAGCTACACGGTTTTCGTCTCGTGATAGTAAAATCAACATCAATAAAATCAAAACAATCCAATAACAACAAAAGACTATCTTGGGCCTAATTTTATTTCATCTCTCATATGCTTCTTCATTGACCTAAAAAGTACTAATTATTTAGCAATATGAAAGGGAAATATGCCGCTTTAAAACTAAAGAGAGAAGAAACTTAGAGAACTTGGATATATAACTTTATTAAAAACTTAATAAGATACGATTTTTACTGATTGGTTGTAGAGAATACTAATATAATATAATATCATCTTGAATAAATTAATATCAAAAGCCAATCTCGGTTAATAAACTAAAATTTATATTCAATCATCCGGATCCTTAACCTCTCATATTTTTTTCCACTATAAGCTTACAAGGTCTCTCTAAATGTTTTCCTATATCTGAAGTTTTTAACAAAACAATGCTTCTCTTCTCTGCAACTTAGAGCCAAATTAGGAACTAAAACAAAGAACTCAAGCTTACTTCTTAAACAAGGCATTATCTAGACCTTAGTGTATCTTCAAAGAAAAATTGTAATTGAATTGTTAATATGACACTTCTACAATTGCTTAATTATCTAAAGGGAAAATTACTTCTAGGCCCCAAAATCCAACTTTCAATGTGCCCCAGCCCCCCATATTTTTTAAAATATGATGCAGCCCCTTGTTTTTGAAAAAATTATGTCCAGGCCCCTCCATCATGATTCCAGCTCATGCCAGCAGATGATTAGACATATCAGCTCATGATTAGACATGCCAACTGACTTAAATCCTAATTTTACCCTCCTCTTTCTCATGCCAGCGGATGTTAACTCTTATAGATAATATGTTAACTCTTACAGATAACATGTTAACTATTAAGAGTTAACATGTTAGCCCTAAGAGTTAACATGTTAATATAATAACCATGATCGTCACCGGCCACGCGAAGTTCCTCGGGACGGCGCCGGCTAGGGGTGTGCAACGGTCGGTTCGGTTCGGTTTTTACCAAAATTTGAACAACCGAACCTAACCGCTTATAATTCAAAACCGAACCGAACTGTTGCAAGTCGGTTCGGTGCGGTTCGGTTCGGTTTGTTCGGTTCTAACTTCATCAAACTTCTTATCAAACAACAAACTGTGCTAAAGAAAAAAAATATATCAACAAAGTAGGAGATTATGAAGCATTAAACACTGATATAATGATATTGTTTTCAACCCATAATGATCCAGAAAATAAGTTTAGAGTTTGAGTCTTTGACTCTTTGGGGACGTGTCGGGCAGGGTTTGAGATCAGATTGGGTAGTATTGCACTATATTCGGTTGGTTCGGGTCGGTTCGGGTTGAAAAGTTTTCAAACCGACCCGAACCGCCCTACTCATAAAACCGATTTTTTCGGATCGGTTCGGGTCGGTTCGGTCGGTTTTTTCGGCTTGGACTGAACCATGCACAACCCTACAAAACTGGATCAAATTTGTAATTTTTCATAGTCACAAGAAAGGGTTTTCTTTATTTGTATACGTTCTAAATCTTTCTTATTCATAGAGTTACTTTGATGTGAATATTTGCTTTTTTACCCACAAACTTTGAACTTTGCATTAAAACATATTTTCTAAATTGGAGGAACGGAGGAGGAGGAGGGGGTGTAGGGGAGGGGTAAAATCGGGATTTTTGAAGAGGTTGCATTGGAACTTGAGGAGAGGGGCCTGAACACAATTTTTTCAAAAACAAGGGGCTGCAGCATATTTTAAAAAATATGGGGGGCTGGGGCACATTGAAAGTTGGATTTTGGGGCCTAGAAGCAATTTTCCCTTATCTAATACTTACAATTTTATATAAAAAGAAAGTTAAAAATTATCAAACTAGCTATAACTAATTTGAAAAAAGAAATTAATTCTTGATCATAGTGTTGTCTAGAATTTAGTGCATTCTCCAAAGAATTTCCCAATCGGATGGTTAATGTGACACTTTTGAAAGTGCTTAATTTTATGGAAATTATAATTTCGAAAAAAGGGAGTTTAAAAGCTTTAAACTGAGTATAACCAATTCATTCAAAGAAATTACATACACAAACATACCTGGAATGTCTATGCAAAGTTAGAGGAGGATACATTTGAGTAATATCTCAACACGATTAACCTATAAAAAATTAGCTTGAAATGCATAAACTTAAATTAAAATATTAGCTTATTGCTAAAAGAGCTCATAGAAAATAAAAAAACTATATAAAAAATTATTTTGTGATCTAAAGAAGGTAAAACATGATTAACACTAAGCATAGTGCCTCGGGGTAACTAAGATGACTCAAAAGCTGACCATGGTGACTCAGGTGATGATGGTGTCTTGAAGGTGGTGTATGGTGACTTAGGATGCATATAGTGACTCGAGTGAGTATGATAACTCAATATTTATCTATCATGAATAATAAACTTTGTTGTTTCCTCTCAACTTTTTGATACATATATAGCCACGAATAAGGTCTCTTAGATAGATGCAAACTATGCGAATACTAAGATACCTAGGTTCGGCTTTCTTTCTTGGCTTTGATGATGCTTGAGGGAGAAAAAATTGATTGGGAATGAGGAGATGATAGCCGAGTTATGGGAGGGATGAATTCTTATCTGATGGTTTTTC